GAGTCCTGGCTCTACCTCCAAGTTCTGGCTCTATGTTTTTTGAGTCCTGGCTCTACTTTAGTTGAGTCCTGGCTCTACCTTGTAGAGTTCTGACTCCTCCATCAAGTCCTGACTTTACTTTTATTGAGTCCTGGCTCTACAAACAGCTCCTGGCTCTACCTCCAAGTTCTGGCACTGTGTTTTTTTGAGTCCTGGCTCTACCTTTCTTGAGTCCTGGCTTTAATTTTGTTGAGTCCTGGCTCTATACAAACGAGTCCTGGCTCTACAAATGAGTCCTGGCTCTACCTCCAAGTCCTGGCTCTACAAACGAGTCCTGGCTCTACCTTGTTGAGTCCTGGCTCTACAAACAAGTCCTGGCTCTACCTCCAAGTTCTGGCTCTACCTTTGTTGAGTTCTAACTTTACTTTAGTTGAGTCCTGGCTCTACAAATGAGTCCTGGTTCTACCTTTGTAGAGTCCTGGCTCTACCTCCAAGTTCTGGCTCTATGTTTTTTGAGTCCTGGCTCTACAAACGAGTCCTGGCTCTACCTCCAAGTTCTGGCTCTACGTTTTTTGAGTCCTGACTCTACCTTTTTTGAGTCCTGGCTCTACTCTACCTCCCTGGTTCTATCTTGTTGAGTCCTGGCTCTACAAACAAGTCCTGGCTTCACTTTTGTTGAGTCCTGGCTCTACCTCCAAGTCCTGGTTCTACCTCCAAATCCCTTTTAGCAACAGATTGTTCCACCTCCTGCTATTTGTGGGGTAGGAAAAGGCAGAAGCAAAGCTTGGAGGGGTGAAGAGTCCTCAAGTCCTTAGGAAAGAAAGACATGGAGTTGGTTCAAACCAGGAATTAGCCAACACTCACGTTCACTTTTGTTGAGTCCTGGCTCTACCTCCAAGTCCTGGTTCTACCTCCAAATCCCTTTTAGCAACAGATTGTTCCACCTCCTGCTATTTGTGGGGTAGGAAAAGGCAGAAGCAAAGCTTGGAGGGGTGAAGAGTCCTCAAGTCCTTAGGAAAGAAAGACATGGAGTTGGTTCAAACCAGGAATTAGCCAACACTCACGTCCTTGAAGGAGATGAGTCCAAGTGTGAGCTAAGAGCTGCAGGTGCTGAGGAACCCTCAGGTGTGGTGGTTGTCACAGCAGGAGGAACTTGGTGTCTCTCAGAGTTGGGTGTTGCATGCAGAAGTGAAGTCTGTGCATGTGGTCTGAAGTCTCTGATTTCTGTAACTTGAAAAAAAAAAACCCAAAAAACTCTTTCAGGTTCCAGGTAAATCAGGTGCTGTGGCTGCTTTTCCCCCCCGTGCGTCGCTTGCTGTGGAATGATGATTCCATGACAGCCTCCCTGAAGGTTTTGGTGTTCAGATTCCATGTGTTTTCCCTTTTGACTGGGATTTTGGACCTGTCTTAGTGTAAAGGCAAACAGAAACTTGATTTAAAACCAGCAGACCATCCCCCCCAGGTTGCTGCATTCCTGAGTAAACTTAAGTTCTCTTGGGCATCCAGCAGCTCCTCTAAGGAGTTGGTCAAGGAATTTTAAAACAAATTTCTGTTCACTGTGCTACTCTACAGCACCAAAAAATTTAAAAAAAAAAAAAAAAAACCCAAAACCAAACCAAAAAAAAAACCAGATTCTGACAGGAATCCCATCATGCCAGATTGCCAAAAATGAAATGTTTTTCCAGGTACCACTTTCAAAACTCAGAAGCAGCTGAAAGAGTCTCTGAACAAACCGAATAAGCCGTGGAAGAAATCACAAAGTAAGGAACCACTGTGAACTCTGTGCACTGATGTAGAAATTGGCTGCTCAAGGAGCAGGAGGAAAAGTTGAGCCTGGCACGGGCACAGCACCTGCAGGTTGGGAAGGGCCTGGAATTGAGCACTCCCAGGAGATGTGGCTAGAAAATTATTCTAGAAAGGAAAGAAATGAGGCAAAAAGAAGCTCTGAGGGTGCAGAGAGGAGAGGAAAGAGCTGGTGGAACCTCAGGGTGTGGAGAGAAGCAGGAGGTGGAAACTGCCTTGGTGCTCAGGAGAACTTTTGCCACGGCAAACTGGGCTAGGAGACAGGAGCATGGAGGAGCCCAGTGGGAGATCTGAGGGATGTGACCGTCTCGTGAGGCAGCAAAGCCCGGAGGGCTCCCAGCAGGGAGTGCTGGGACCTCAGTGTGAGCTGTGGGACATCAAATGTGACACATGGGACCTCAGTGTGAGGTGTGGGACGTCAGGTGTGACGTGTGGGGCCTCAGTATGAGGTGTGGGACGTCAGGTGTGACACATGGAACCTCAGTGTGAGGTGTGGGACGTCAGATGTGACACATGGGACCTCAGTGTGAGGTGTGGGACATCAAATGTGACGTGTGGGGCCTCAGTGTGAGCTGTGGGACGTCAGATGTGACACATGGGACCTCAGTGTGACATGTGGGACATCAAATGTAACACATGGGACCTCAGTGTGAGGTGTG